GTGTGTGTGTGTGTGTGTGTGTATATGTATATATATATATATATATATATATATATATATATATATATATATATATATATACATACATATATATATATATACACACACACACACACACACAATTCATGTTTATTTCTATAGCACTTTTACAATGTAGATTGTGTATCAAAGCAGTTTAACATATTAGTTCTAGTAAATTGAAACTGTTTCAGTCCAGTTTTCAGAGTTGAGGCTCAGTTTAGTGTGGTATAGATAGATAGATATTTTGCAGGCATAAAGATAAATGTATTGTGTATGTAAATAAATTTATATTTTCCTTTATAACATTTTTTGAGACTTTAGAGATATGCTACTATGTATATTGCAATTATATACTGCATATCAGTGTTAGATATTAGTTTTTGTCTAGCAGAACCTCAGAGCACACAATAAAAGTAAAGTATCCCCAATTTCACAACTGAAGCACTGAATCACGTATGAAAAAGTGAGTCTTCATGAAACGGAAACTTCGCCCTTATGACACGAATCACGACTAACCTGAAACAAACAACAACTAAAATAATGCATTTTAATGAACAGACACATTTAAAAACGCAATGACGTAAATTCAAGAGTTTGTGTGTCGATTTTAGCAATGACATCGCGCTGAAGTGAATCGTGGCGCAAGTAAAACACACTTGAGATGTTTTCCCCCTTAAGACTCAAGCGTTAGCCAGCAGCTATTAAAGCTTTTAACTTCACTAGCCACACATCCAAGACGGTAAACAAACTCGTTCGTTATGTACAAAAAACTTCCGCGCTTCCTGTTCATTAATTCAAGCCTCACTTTCCTTGCTGAAGCGTGTTTGAAAGTAAAGCAGGAGTAAATGAGAGGCTGGGATTTCACACTGGACCGCCGCTAACGGGCTAATCGGGCTTCCCACACACTCAAAACAGCCGCTCCTCCGCCCGCACACGGCCGCCTCGCCACCGAAACACTCACCTCCGCATAGCATCGTGTCCACGACGGGCGAACATACACACTTCTCGCTGGAGCTCGTCAAATAAATCAATGGTGAAATGTGGGCTGGTGATTTCTGCCCATTCCAGAGGCCAGCAGACTGAAGCCCAGCGGCGCGCGCTGATGACGTCAGGTAGGAGCCGCTGATCCGCGGTTCGCTCTTCACGCACATCACAAACATTTGGGTTTTTATTACGTTTTTATTATTGTTAAAGCTTATAAACGTATAATAAATCTATGATGATTACATGCTACAGTGTAATATGACTTAATAATTTAATATCTAGCTGATAATCTTGATAACAGCAATATCTAAATGTATAGCTTTTTAAAAAGAATAACGTTACATAAAATGTGGCCTATATATTTTTATTTAAGGCGTGTATAAGTTATATTACGGATATAAAATGATCATATGATATTTTAAATACGTTATATATTTCCATTTAGGTTATATACATTAAAATAAGGTTTTATATGTATAATATGTATAATGTACATAAAATACCTCGATAATGATTGTTTTGTAATTTGATTAAATTCTAGTTGCATTTACATGCAGTAAATATTTAACATTTAAATATATAACATTATATCTCATTATATTCTGTCTGTTCTTGAATCTGATTGGCTGATATTTTGCCAGTAACAGCACACAAAGTCCTCTTCACCTTAGTGTATTACTCCGCCCACATACAAGAAGAGGACGCTCTACAGTTTGACAAATATATATTCCTGCTATTGGACTGAAGGATGTACTTTTGGGGCTTTTTAAATCGAGAATGTAGTTGTTTAGGTTGCAACTATGCAGTTTAATTATAAGGATAGTGCCTTTTTTTAAATATTTGTACAGTGCGTTGGTGTTCATCAGTCAAAAACGGTTGACGTTGCCACAAGATGGCACCAGGGCCGCATAATAAGCCCTTGCTTAGAAGATTAACGTTAAAACTGCATGTTTTCTAACGACATCTGATCAAATCATTATTAAACTGGTAAGCGATATTCTAAGTCGATCTCTCTCTTTTGTATAGATTTCAACAATTATGTATAAGGACATTTTTAATCTTAAAGTGTGAGCAAAATCTGTTGTTTTATCTTCACTTTATACATTACGCTATAGAGAGTCATTCAAGCACTAGCTCTAAAGTAATGTTGGTGAATTAGTAACGGCTTCTACTGTTCTGACGTCAGCTGCAGATGTGAATAAATGGCGGAAGAAAGTAGTTCCTGAAACGGCTGAAAAGGGCTTTTAGGCACTCCGTGTTTGATTTTCTTACTTATATACACAATTGTGCCGTCAAACTGTTGTAAAAACGTAATATCACACTCGTAGCAGTGCGATATGGCTGTATATTAGCATAGGTGGGACGCCAACGCACGCCTCCCACCAGTGCTGATATACTGCCATATCGCACTGCTACTTGTGTGATATTGCGTTTATACAACAGTTCGACGGCACAATTGTGTATATAAAAAATATATATTTACAATTTAGCTCTGGTTTTCCCCCACAGTCCAAAGACATACGGTACAGGTGAATTGGGTAGGCTAAATTGTTAGTAGTGTATAAGTTTGAATGAGTGTGTATGGATGTAAAACATGTGCTGGATAAGTTGTCGGTTCATTCCGCTGTGGCGACCCCAGAATAGTAAAGGGACCAAGCCGAAAAGAAAATGAATGAATGAATGAAATATGTAATATAATATCTAGTTATAATCTGTAATTTGCACACATGAAATATGTAAAACGTAAACAGGCCCGTAGCCAGGTTAGGATTTGGGTGGTTCGAAAGACCATGCATGAACTCATTTGTCATAATTTGAGTGCTATGCCATCATAAATAGTGAAATTAATCCATTGAAAAGGCTTTAACACCAAGCAAAATCCTATATTAAAATTTATTTGAAAACTAATTTGGCTATTTTTGTTATCCATGAATTTTCAATCAAACCAAATGTACTTTTTTTTTACAAGAGAGGCTAAAAAATTGTGAAGCTCTATTATTATTATTATTATTATGTTTTATTTTTTTATTATTCAAATAGCCAAACTCTGATTGAGTACAGTTGAATGTTCTGGCCATTGTGTAGGCTAAGGCTACAGTTTTTGATTTAAAACTTTAACAAATTCCCATTTTTTTCTAATGATTTTAGATGTAATAAATTTGTCTTTTTAAAAAAGGTATTTATTCATTTTTCTTTATTATAAATCTGTAGGAAATATTTTTGGTACATTAAATGTGTCATTATGTCGACAATCTAACAAGCTAATCCAGCTAAAATAGTGCTTTTAATGTTTCTAAAATACAGTATTTAAATCTCATGCATTGTAAATGAGGTGAATAACTGCGAAAAGGTCCACATTTTTAAAAACCACCTCTTATACCTGGCTGGCTTTGGGCCTGTTAAATGTATAATATTATATTTTGTATATATGTATTTTTATTTCAAACAAAATTAGCGAATTTCATTTCTGTATATACACAGCTGTTTATTTTTTTTTTTTACAAAATCACATCAGAAATGTTTTACAATATTGCTGTATTTTCCTTTTTATCTTTTGTATAACATAATAGGAGGGCAATGTATTGTTGTATTGATTTTATATTGGTTTTAGGACGTTTATATTACGAATTTAAAATTATTATTTTTGTTTTAATGAATTTGAAACTATTTGACCTTACTTTTTATGTTGTGCAGAATATCAATAGAGGGCAATGTCGAGCAGTTACTTTTATAAGTTTTGTTGGGCCTCGAGACAGCTAAACCGCTTTACTGCCTGTAAGATAAAAATATCCTTGCTTTACACTAAGTTGTTCAGACTTACAAGAAGCAACAAAGTAGGGCAGAGTTAAAAGCAACAGGAACAATCATAAAGGATTAAAGTTTAGGGGGGGGTTAGTCTTTTAAATGCCTCTGGCCTCACTACTCTAAATTTCAGTGTAAATTTTATTTGTATAAAACGTCATTTTTTAAATAAAAGTCATTTATTAAGTGAAAAAAATCACATTTCATTCATTTTCCTTCGGCTTAGTGCCTTTATTAATCTGGGGTGGCCACAGCGAAATGAACCCATACATGTGTATGGATGTTTACCAGAAATGGGTTGCAGCTGGAAGGGCATCTGCTGCGTTACACATATGCTGGAAAAGTTGGCGATTCAATCTACTGTGGTGACCCCAGATTAATAAAGGCATTAAGCCAACCCGAATAAAAATGTATGAATAAATGATGATGATCCATGATAAAAAAATAATGAATTTACACTGTATTAAATGATGAAGATGGTCCAGGATCAACACTAGTGAATTTACACTGTATTAAATGATGAAGATGGTCCAGGATCAACATTAGTGAATTTACACTGTATTAAATGATGAAGATGGTCCAGGATCAACACTAGTGAATTTACACTGTATTAAATGATGAAGATGGTCCAGGATCAACATTAGTGAATTTACACTGTATTAAATGATGAAGATGGTCCAGGATCAACATTAAGGAATTTACACTGTATTAAATGATGATGATGGTCCAGGATCAACATTAATGAATTTACACTGTATTAAATGATGAAGATGGTCCAGGATCAACATTAATGAATTTACACTGTATTAAATGATGATGATGGTCCAGGATCAACATTAGTGAATTTACACTGTATTAAATGATGATGATGGTCCAGGATCAACATTAGTGAATTTACACTGTATTAAATGATGAAGATGGTCCAGGATCAACATTAAGGAATTTACACTGTATTAAATGATGATGATGGTCCAGGATCAACATTAATGAATTTACACTGTATTAAATGATGAAGATGGTCCAGGATCAACAATAGTGAATTTACACTGTATTAAATGATGAAGATGATCCAGGATCAACATTAGTGAATTTACACTGTATTAAATGATGATGATGGTCCAGGATCAACATTAGTGAATTTACACTGTATTAAATGATGAAGATGGTCCAGGATCAAAACTAGTGAATTTACACTGTATTAAATGATGATGATGATGGTCCAGGATCAACATTAATGAATTTACACTGTATTAAATGATGATGATGGTCCAGGATCAACATTAGTGAATTTACACTGTATTAAATGATGAAGATGGTCCAGGATCAACACTAGTGAATTTACACTGTATTAAATGATGATGATGGTCCAGGATCAACATTAGTGAATTTACACTGTATTAAATGATGAAGATGGTCCAGGATCAACATTAATGAATTTACACTGTATTAAATGATGATGATGGTCCAGGATCAACAATAGTGAATTTACACTGTATTAAATGATGAAGATGGTCCAGGATCAACAATAGTGAATTTACACTGTATTAAATGATGATGATGGTCCAGGATCAACACTAGTGAATTTACACTGTATTAAATGATGAAGATGGTCCAGGATCAACATTATTGAATTTACACTGTATTAAATGATGATGATGGTCCAGGATCAACATTAATGAATTTACACTGTATTAAATGATGATGATGGTCCAGGATCAACATTAGTGAATTTACACTGTATTAAATGATGATGATGGTCCAGGATCAACATTAATGAATTTACACTGTATTAAATGATGATGATGGTCCAGGATCAACATTAGTGAATTTACACTGTATTAAATGATGAAGATGGTCCAGGATCAACACTAGTGAATTTACACTGTATTAAATGATGAAGATGGTCCAGGATCAACATTAGTGAATTTACACTGTATTAAATGATGAAGATGGTCCAGGATCAACATTAAGGAATTTACACTGTATTAAATGATGATGATGGTCCAGGATCAACATTAATGAATTTACACTGTATTAAATGATGAAGATGGTCCAGGATCAACATTAGTGAATTTACACTGTATTAAATGATGATGATGGTCCAGGATCAACATTAGTGAATTTACACTGTATTAAATGATGAAGATGGTCCAGGATCAAAACTAGTGAATTTACACTGTATTAAATGATGATGATGATGGTCCAGGATCAACATTAATGAATTTACACTGTATTAAATGATGATGATGGTCCAGGATCAACATTAGTGAATTTACACTGTATTAAATGATGAAGATGGTCCAGGATCAACACTAGTGAATTTACACTGTATTAAATGATGATGATGGTCCAGGATCAACATTAGTGAATTTACACTGTATTAAATGATGAAGATGGTCCAGGATCAACATTAATGAATTTACACTGTATTAAATGATGATGATGGTCCAGGATCAACAATAGTGAATTTACACTGTATTAAATGATGAAGATGGTCCAGGATCAACAATAGTGAATTTACACTGTATTAAATGATGATGATGGTCCAGGATCAACACTAGTGAATTTACACTGTATTAAATGATGAAGATGGTCCAGGATCAACATTAATGAATTTACACTGTATTAAATGATGATGATGGTCCAGGATCAACACTAGTGAATTTACACTGTATTAAATGATGAAGATGGTCCAGGATCAACATTAATGAATTTACACTGTATTAAATGATGAAGATGGTCCAGGATCAACATTAGTGAATTTACACTGTATTAAATGATGATGATGGTCCAGGATCAAAACTAGTGAATTTACACTGTATTAAATGATGATGATGGTCCAGGATCAACACTAGTGAATTTACACTGTATTAAATGATGATGATGGTCCAGGATCAAAACTAGTGAATTTACACTGTATTAAATGATGATGATGATGGTCCAGGATCAACATTAATGAATTTACACTGTATTAAATGATGATGATGGTCCAGGATCAACATTAGTGAATTTACACTGTATTAAATGATGATGATGATGGTCCAGGATCAACATTAATGAATTTACACTGTATTAAATGATGATGATGGTCCAGGATCAACATTAGTGAATTTACACTGTATTAAATGATGATGATGATGGTCCAGGATCAACATTAATGAATTTACACTGTATTAAATGATGATGATGGTCCAGGATCAACATTAGTGAATTTACACTGTATTAAATGATGATGATGGTCCAGGATCAACATTAGTGAATTTACACTGTATTAAATGATGAAGATGGTCCAGGATCAACATTAGTGAATTTACACTGTATTAAATGATGAAGATGGTCCAGGATCAACATTAATGAATTTAAACTGTATTAAATGATGAAGATGGTCCAGGATCAACATTAATGAATTTACACTGTATTAAATGATGATGATGGTCCAGGATCAACATTAGTGAATTTACACTGTATTAAATGATGATGATGATGATCCAGGATCAACATTAATGAATTTACACTGTATTAAATGATGATGATGGTCCAGGATCAACATTAGTGAATTTACACTGTATTAAATGATGATGATGGTCCAGGATCAACATTAGTGAATTTACACTGTATTAAATGATGAAGATGGTCCAGGATCAACATTAGTGAATTTACACTGTATTAAATGATGATGATGATGGTCCAGGATCAACATTAATGAATTTACACTGTATTAAATGATGATGATGGTCCAGGATCAACATTAATGAATTTACACTTTATTAAATGATGATGATGATCCAGGATCAACATTAATGAATTTACACTGTATTAAATGATGATGATGGTCCAGGATCAACATTAGTGAATTTACACTGTATGAAATGATGATGATGATCCAGGATCAACAATAGTGAATTTACACTGTATTAAATGATGAAGATGATCCAGGATCAACATTAGTGAATTTACACTGTATTAAATGATGAAGATGGTCCAGGATCAACATTAGTGAATTTACACTGTATTAAATGATGAAGATGGTCCAGGATCAACATTAGTGAATTTACACTGTATTAAATGATGAAGATGGTCCAGGATCAACATTAGTGAATTTACACTGTATTAAATGATGAAGATGGTCCAGGATCAACATTAGTGAATTTACACTGTATTAAATGATGATGATGGTCCAGGATCAACATTAGTGAATTTACACTGTATTAAATGATGATGATGATCCAGGATCAACATTAGTGAATTTACACTGTATTAAATGATGATGATGATGGTCCAGGATCAACATTAGTGAATTTACACTGTATTAAATGATGAAGATGGTCCAGGATCAACATTAGTGAATTTACACTGTATTAAATGATGATGATGGTCCAGGATCAACATTAGTGAATTTACACTGTATTAAATGATGATGATGGTCCAGGATCAACATTAGTGAATTTACACTGTATTAAATGATGATGATGGTCCAGGATCAACATTAGTGAATTTACACTGTATTAAATGATGATGATGGTCCAGGATCAACATTAGTGAATTTACACTGTATTAAATGATGATGATGGTCCAGGATCAACATTAATGAATTTACACTGTATTAAATGATGAAGATGGTCCAGGATCAACAATAGTGAATTTACACTGTATTAAATGATGATGATGGTCCAGGATCAACATTAGTGAATTTACACTGTATTAAATGATGAAGATGGTCCAGGATCAACATTAATGAATTTACACTGTATTAAATGATGATGATGGTCCAGGATCAACATTAGTGAATTTACACTGTATTAAATGATGATGATGGTCCAGGATCAACATTAGTGAATTTACACTGTATTAAATGATGATGATGATTTAAATTAGTCTGTATTTTGTGTACATACTATAATTGCAGTTGGAAAATCGCAAATATAAATTATAGAACTAATTAAATGTTTTCATTTTGTACCAAGCTTCGCACAAGTGTCGCTAAGAATACACATTTATATAAATAAATGCAATGCCATTTTACATATAATTGCATTGCCACATTTTTAATGCTTGTTTGCTGACATGTCAGTACTACAGTACAGCAGATGGCGGTAATGCATTGCTTAAGTTTACATGCAAAGAAAAAGCGAGAAGGAGCGCTCCTCTGATTGGCCACTGTAATCCAACTCGTGTTGATTTCACTCGTGGATTGTAACTCATACACTAGATTTTACATTAGTGGCTGTCATCTTTTTCGTTAGATCTTCATAATGTTTAATCAGTAGCTGTTGTAATAATACAGTGCTTTGTATATTTTGCAGAGCAGTTTATCTGTTAGCTGGTAGTGTTTTGAGTCATGCTGTTAGAAGTGCTACAGGCAGCAGACGCTGGAGGATTCATACTCATTCAGGGTAAAGTACACACTATACATTATATATATATTTTACCGTTCTCCACTGATATATACATATAGCTAGTTTGAAGTTAAATGTTTGATATTAGCATAAATAGGGACCGTCTCTAAAGTTACATTGCAATACACTGTTATAGCCCTGCTGAAAAAAACAGCTTAAACCAGCATAGGCTGGTTGGCTGGTTTTAGCTGGTTAACCAGCCTGGTTTTAGAGGGGTTTTGGTCATATCCAGGCTGGTTTTCAGCCCTTTCCAGCCTGGTCTTAGCTGTTCGGGCTGGGAGATGACCAGCTAAAACCAACTAAAGGCTGGTCAAGCTGTTTTTTTGAGGCTTTTGCATTTTAGGCTGAGATTATTTGTGCTTTATGGCGCGTTTTCTGTTGGAAGTAGCCATCAGAAGATGAGTGCACTGTGGTCATAAAGGAATGGACATGGTCAGCAACAATACTCAGAAAGGCTGTGGTTTTGACACAATGCTCAATTGGTACTAATGAGCCCAAAGTGTGCCAGGAAAATATCCCCCACACCATTACACCACCACCACCAGCCTGAACCGTTGATAAAAGGCAGGATGGATCCATGCTTTCATGTTGTTGACATCAAATTCTGACCTGACCATGTGAATGTTGCAGCAGAAGTTGAGACTCATCAGAGCAGGCAACGTTTCTCCAATCTTCTATTGTCCAATTTTGGTGAGCCTGTGTGAATTGTAGTCTCAGTTTCCTGTTCTTAGCTGACATGAGTGGCACCCAGTGTGGTCTTCTGTTGCTGTAGCCCATCCGCCTCAAAGTTAGACATGTCGTGCGTTCAGAAATGCTCTTCTGCAGACCTCAGTTGTAACGAGTGGTTATTTGAGTGACTGTTACCTTTCTATCAGCTGGAACCAGTCTGGCCATTCTCCTCTGACCTCTGGCATCAACAAGGCATTTGCACCCACAGAACTGCCTCTCACTGGATATTTCCTCTTTTAGAACCATTCTCTATTAACCCTAGAAACGGTTGTGCGTGAAAATTCCAGTAGATCAGCAGTTTCTGAAATACTCAGACCAGCCAGTCTGACTCATTCAAAGTCACTTAAATCCCCTTTCTTCCTCATTCTGATTCAGTATTTTGTCTTGACCATGTCTACATGACTAAATGCATTGAGTTGCTGCCATCTGATTGGCTGATTAGAAATTTACGTTAACGAGCAGTTTGACAGGTGTACCTAATAAAAAGGCTGGTGAGTGTTCATGAACTTTTTAGTAGATAAAATAGTGTCTTATGCAACTTTAAAGATGCTCCCTAAATTTGAGAATATCAAATGTCCAACATTCTTTTTGCACTTCTGAATGGACTAACTACATCTATAATGTGTATCTGCCATCAGATTCTGTCCAATGCTGCGGTCGAGGAATCCTCCGGTGTTGTATTAACGCAGCGCTGAAGAGGCGAGTTCAGTCTGCAGCTGTTTTTGACTTCCACTGTATGTTGTAATAATGCCTGACTTGTGTTTGTATGTTGTGAAGGGACGAGGATGTGCATGTGCTGGGGTTTGAGAGTCCTGAAACAGAAGTGTGTGCTGGCTTAGACTGCAGTTTTGCGCAAAAGTGAGTATCATGAAAATATAATTGGTTTGTGACATGCATTAGAGATGCTTTTATGACTGATATGCTGGGTAATTGGCCATAGAGTATGATTGTGTGTGTGAATGTGAGAGTGTATGGGTGTTTCTCAGTGCTCGGTTGCAGCTGGAAGGGCATCCTCTGCGTAAAACATATGCCGGAATAATTGGCGGTTCATTCTGCTGTGGCGATCTCTGAAATAGAGACTAAGCTGAAGGAAAGTACAATAACAGATGAAGCACGCTTTTCTGCCGCTAAAATACCTGATCTTATATTGTTTGTGTGTTTAAAGGCTTCATTTTCATAAGGGTTTTCCTGATCCCCTCGGCTGGAGGGGCAAATCTTCTTTCACCGTTCAGCAGTTCACTTCTCAACACATAACTCAACTCATCAGAGACTCGCAACCTGCTAAAGCATCAGTTCTAGTTGTTGACTCTCTCTCGCTGGTTTTAAGACATCACAATCCTGTCATCGTCTGTCAGAGTCTTCAGGAGCTCAGAAAAGGTGAAGCATTTTCCCCAAGAAACACTTAGGAGATTATTCAGGGTGTCTGCGGGGTTTTAAAAAGTGTTAAAAGTATTAAAAAGTAAATTAAAAAGTATTACATTTTTTTTAAATTATCTGTATTGCATTTTAACTTTACACTCTAATAACATAGAAGTAAAAACAACAACAAAACAAACCAAAAAAAGTCTCAGGGCCCTATCATACACCCGGCGCAAGGCGTGGTTCAAATGTTATTTGCTAGTTTTAGCTTGACACAATTGTCGTTTTGCACCACGCTGTTTAAATAGCAAATGCATTAGTGCTCATATGTGCGCCCATAGGCGTTCTGGTCTAAAAAGGAAGGCATTCTGAGGCGGACCGCTGGCGCGTTGCTATTTTGAGAAACTATAATAGATTTTTTATTAGACCAAAACAAACCCGGTCTAAACTCCAGCGCAGAGTTGCACCTCGCTTACACACTGCTTAATAGCCTACACACAAGATGTAGAGCAATACGCAAATATCTTTACATTTGAAAAATAATTAAAATATTAAGGATATATATATATATATATATATATATATATATATATATATATATATATATATATATATATATAGAATATAAATATAAAGGATTAAAATATTCAAAAAACATATTATTTTCTAGCCTACCTAAATATGAAAAATCACTGCTTTTATGTCTTCTTCATCTCGGGAGGCTTTTTCAGTTCATTCATAATAATTTGCTTTTGTATAATGTTATTATTATTAGCAGTATTATTTATTATATCCATATTTATATTTGTTTTATTAAAACAAGCTTAGATTTGCCCACCTGCAGGTTTTAGACCATATGGGGCAGATCATGTGTATTAAGATATAACTCAGCTTTTTGAGCACACTTCGTTATTGTTGTTCATTTATTTATTTATTTATGTTTTAAAGCAAATCTTTGCGCTTAACAAACAAAATTAATTATTTATAGACTAATTGATGTCTGTGCGTAAAGGTTTCCCTATCCACGGGAGCGAAAGTGAAAGTAGATCATTTATCTCTCATTCTCACGCAGTAGATGCTCTGTTTAACAGTTTTCTGTAAAAAAAAAACAAAACTGTTAACTGTTTGCTTGTGAAATGCTCATTTTTTCCACTTAGACTTACTTTGCGTCCTGTAAATAGCGAATGTGCTCTTGGCGTGACGCAGCTGGCTCTTAAAGGGAATGGGAGATGAGACTCTAATTGGTTTATTCTCAAAACACACCTATAACTCATTAAGAAAATAAACTCAACCCTTTTAGACCATGCGCCACGGCGCAAAGCGGATTTTCCCGTCCTTGAATTAGCAAAAATGCATTCTGACACGCCCTGAAAGTGTTTGCGCCCTGCGTTTTGCGCTCTGCACATGAACCATCAAAATAGAGCCCTCAGTGTTTTACATTACATCAACACATTTCCAACTCCACCACATTTTAGGAACAGTTTTTGAGCTCCCCAAACTCCCTCAAAGACCTTGAATTAATCTCTTAATATATAGACATCTTTTCTATTGTCATGTTTGTAACCATGTCTTTCAGCCTACATCCTAAAGGCATTGATTACCATTTTGCAATATATTAAATTTTGTATCTTTTTTTTTTTTTTTTTGATTGTACAATGTATTGCTGTATGCTGAAGTTTGCCTGAATTTAATCAGAGAATATTTGGGTGCTGTGTAGTTTAATTGATAAAATCCTGCTAGATTTGACATCACGCTGCTTTGTTTACTGTAGTTACCAAGGCAACATCGTTATTTAACTGTTAATCAATTTAATAAATAAATTAAGGAGTGGAAGTTACATTACATGCACTCTAAAAACGGGTTGCTGTATCTAAACATTGGGTAAAATATGGTCCAATCCAACATTTGGGTTAAGTTTTTTTTTTATTTAAATTTAACCCAAACAGTTGGGTTTGTCCATATTTGACCCAATCAGTGTTGGGTGTAATATAGTTACAAACAAAGTGATTAGTTACTGTAATTAAATTACTTTTCCACTGAAAAGTAAAGGGTTTACTTTTCTTTTTTAGGTAATTTAATTACAATTAGTTTTAATTAATTCTTAGGCAATGCAGTGACAGTCTTGATACATAATGTTTATCATTTTTAAGTGTTTTTTTATTTAGTTTTATTAAAAAAAGAGATCCGTCAGACTCCATTTGAAAAAATTAAAAGACTTTAAATTGTTTGGCATAAATCTGTATATATGTTAAGTACTATTTAGGCAAGTAAATATTTATTGATTTTACTTATTTATTACATATTGTGAAATTAAATTTCTTTTTAGACAAAGTAATTTAAATTAAATTGTAATAATGTAATTCTATAATTTTAAAGTGACATACCAACACCGGACTCAATGTTTGGTTACAACAACCCAGCATTTTTTATAGAGCATGGGTTTAGAAATGTGCGTGAAAGACACATTTAAAATATAATTCTATAAAAATGTTAAATATTTATTGCATTTAGACTTTTAATGGTTGACAAATTGAAGATACAGTCTCTAGTAATAATTCTCTAGTAATTCTTTGTTTTTCTTCATTGTCCACTAGGAGGAGTTGTTAAAACTATTATCGGTCTCCTGCATTCAGATTTGCATCTGCAAGGTATTGTGGGCATCGTATGCCACTTAGCCAGTACTGTAATCTCTGTGGCACCCACAAACAACGAACGTCATGCTGTGGCGACGACCACAAGACGCACAAAATCAGGCAAAGTTACGCAGGAGGTAAGACTTGAGTTTTTATTACTTACAGTTGAAGTCAGAAATATTAGCCCCCTTTGAGTTTTTTTTTTCTTTTTCAAATATTTCCCAAATGATGTTTAACAGAGCAAGGAAATTTTCACAGTAAGTCTGATAATATTTTTTCTTCTGAAGAAAGTCTTATTTGTTTCATTTCGGCTAGAATAAAGTCAGTTTTAAAATTTTTAAACATCATTTTAGGGACAAAATTATTAGCCTCTTTAAGCTATATTTGTTTTCGATAGTCTACAGAACAAACCATCATTATACAATAACTTGCCTAATTACCCTAACCTGCCTAGTTAAGCTAATTAACCTAGATAAACCTTTAAATGTCACTTTAAGCTGTATAGTAGTGTCTTAAAAAAAATATCTAGTCAAAAATTATTTACTGTCATCATGGCAAAGATAAAATAAATCAGTTATTAGAGATGAGCTATTAAAACTATTATGTTTAGAAATCTGCTGGAAAAAAATCTCTCCGTTAAACAGAAATTGAGGGGAAAAAATAAACAGGGAGGCTAATAATTCAGGGGTGTGATAATTCTGACTTCAACTGTATGTATTTATATAATTCAGTTATAACTTATTACGGTAATGCTTCACAGTTTGTTATATGTCATAATTAGAATGCCTTATAGTCAGATTTGATACATCAGAGCTGGGCGATAATATACTTACCTGCCTTAGGGAACTGCCTTAATGCATCTTTTTGTGGATGTTTGGATACATTTAAACATATTTGTATATTTAAATGTAATCTTTAAATACTGTCTTTGAATAATTTATTTTGATAATTTAAACACTATATTTAAAAAAACACTGATTAATATGGTTACATTTTGCAAAAAATAAAAGTTGTATGGATATATTTTTTTGCCATAGCCAAAAATACTTTGTATAGACGAATTGCCAACCTACGTCACACATGATGTCACACGGGTTCCCGGTTGCAAAAAAAAGATACACAAAAAGATGTTGTGTTGTGCGGTAGGATGCCAAAATCGAAAACTTAAGAAGATTAGAAAACTTAACTTTCACCGTACACCATACTGCTTTAATGTCAACTGCAGTTGTCTTTGGCTAAAAGGGAGCAGAATGGAGTGAGGACTTAATTAAAAATGCTCAACTCTGCATTTCCTATGTTATATCAGGTAAGTTCACGCTATGCTGAATCATACACATTACTCGTTTTTAATTGCAGCAATGATTTCAGCACAAACAGTTAAATATGGTGAATTAAACTGCACACACTGAATGCTTAGAATAAAATGTAAATGCCATACAGGTGCAGTTCAATGTCAAAATGCAGTTGTTTTGCTTGTCGATGATTACCCAGGCCTTGTACAGCTCCGTCTTCTTTCCTTGTCCTTGGCTAGGCAGAACCTCGGTTTTTAGCATTACAAAGTTTTGAACCTGGTAATCATGGAGCATTATTTCTTGCACATGACCACACAGAACAACATTGTTGGCATCCAAAGACTTGTAGGCCTTTAACCTCTCTTTTGTTTAAACACTTGGAGTTTCAGTGAAATAGTTGTATATTTAGGGCTGGATGCTTGGCCATTTCGTCTTATCCACTATCCATTGGGAGGGTGCTATCGCAAATGAACCTGTCAGATGAACGCCCTTCACTTTAACGTTAATTTTGCAGAATAACTGTGCTTATCACTGGGTGACGTGTAAAGATATTTTCTGAAAGTAAATATCTCAAAACTCCCTTCATGATTAGTAATGTGCATTATTAAGTGCATCATTAGACAATGATGTTATCTCAGCCAAATATTGTCCTTTCCTAACAAAGTCTGCATTAATGAAAAGCTTATTTATTCAGAGCTCAGATGATGAATCTCTAAAAATCTGTTGATAGGAAGAGTACTTCAGTGTGTCCGAGGACGCGACGCTTTCTGTCCAGAGCAAACCTCGTCAACATGATCGTGTAGAGAAAGAGCAGGATTCAGCTGAGGTGAGCAGAGCTGCTGTAATTCTCATGTTTACCTGGAGCATTTCCAAGGAAAGGGTTTGTTTTTCTCTGTGATCTGAGCAGGTCGATCCAGCATCAAACCTGACTTTCAATCTCCGTCTGTCTGAGGAGGAAAGAAGAGCCAAAGAGAAAGTGGCGCTGCCGTTTGTGTTTAGCCAAGAGAAGTAAGATATCTTGATTTCTGAAGTTGTATTAGTGTTTTGAATTGAAAAAATTTAAATATATATATTTTAATGTAGATTTTATTTCCTTTGAATTAGTTTTTTATTGTAATTTAGTAATTATTTTAATTCAGTTAGATGTCCATTTCTAACATTCTAACAATGTTATTATTTTTGTTTCTAATATTTAATTTTAATTATATACATAAATACAGAGCTCAGCATAATTGAGTTTTGACAATGCATGTTTGTATCCATTTCTCAGTGAATATAGTTTTTTCAATTCAATTCACCTGTATTTGTATAGCGCTTTTACAATGTAGATTGTGTCAAAGCAGCTTCACATAAAAGATCATAATAAATTGGAACAGTTTAGTTCAGTTTATAGTGTTAAAGTTCAGTTCAGTTCAGTTTGGTGTGGTTTAATAATCACTACTGAGGGTCTAAACACTGGAGAGCAAATCCATCGATGCGTAGCTCTACCGCTCCCAAACCATGCAAGCTAGTGGCGACATCGGAGAGGGAAAAAACTTCACAAGTTGCCGAAAGTGAAGAAAACAAACTTTGAGAGAAACCAGGCTCAGTTGGGCACCACCATTTAATTTCTCTGCTGGCCAAACGTCTTGTGCGGAGGCAATGTATTTCGGTGCATTTAAACAAAACAGATTTATTAAACGGGTATATTTATTAAAATAATAATTTAATCATAGAACATCTTTAGAAATTGAAATACAATTAAACTCATGCAAAATATTAGAAAGAAAATTGCAACCTACAACACTTCAACACAATTATAGATATTTTTGTTTCTCTTGATTTTTGCTATTTTTGAAAAATTGTATTTAATATTTTTCTATATCATATAAATTTGGCTGTACTTGTTTTTGGTTCGTTATCTTAAGTTATTTTGTTAGATAAGCTCCAGATTTGGCTTTAGTACTCTCTAATCTAATGTATATGCACAAATATAATATTGTAAAGCTTCCTAAAGAAAATATTACTTATATAATACTCACAGTTGAAGACAAATTTATTATTTGTGTTATTTTTTAATTAGCCATGTATTTTTTTTTATAAGTGCATTAAAACGAATACAAAAAAATAAAAATAGCGAAGGTCAATATTAGGACATACAGTTGAAGTCAGAATTATTAGCCCCCTCTTGATTTTTATTTTCTTTTTTAAATATTTCCCAAATGATTTTTAACAGAGCAATGAAATTTTCACAGTAGGTCTGATAATATTTTTTCTTCTGGAGAAAGTCTTATTTGTTTTATTTCGGCTAGAATAAAAGCAGTTATCAATTTTTTAAACAAAAATTTTGGGACAAAATTATTAGCCCCTTTAAGCTATTTTTTTAATAATCTAGAGAGCAAACCATCGTTATACAATAACTTGCCTAATTACCCTAACCTGCCTAGTTCACCTTATTAACCTAGTTAAGCCTTTTAATGTCACTTTAAGCTGTATAGAAGTGTCTTGAAAAATATCTAGTAAAATATTATTTACTGTCATCATGGCAAAGATAAAATAAATCAGTTATTAGAAATAGGTTTTTAAAACTATTATGATTAGAAATGTGCTGAAACAATCTTCCCTCCATTAAACAGAAATTTGGGAAAAAATAAACAGGGGTGCTAATAATTCAGGGGGGCTAATAATTCTGACTTCAACTGTAAGTATGATTTTTTAAAAGATTTTTAAAAGATTTTTTTTTTCTTATTGATTGGCCACAAAAAAACCTCCACTGTTGTCCAGTGACTTAAATCTTTAATCTAAATACTAGTTATCCTACATTTAAAATAACTAGTAAAATATATTTGTACTGTCATAATGCCTGGACAAATGAAATTATTTATTATAACTAATTCATAAACATTAGTTATTATTAAAATGCTCATGTTTAAAAATGTGTTGAAAATGTTTTATTTCTAAATTGAAGAGGATTACACTAATTTAAGTTAAAACTTAAGGTCAGTATTTATTTGTTCCTTTTTTCCTTTCCCATCATTTATATATATATATATATATATATATATATATATATATATATATATATATATATATATATATGTGTATATGTTTATTTTTTTTATTTTATTTTTTTATTATTTACTTATTGTTTTTATATATTATTACTATAACTTCCTTATGTTTTGTTTGTACCGTGCTCAGCATAATAAGAGTGCACCATATTTTGGAAATTAATATTTGTATCCATTTCTCAGTGAATATAGGCAATGTATTTTGGTGCATTTGGACAAAATAGATTTATTAAACGGATATATTCATTACAATAATATTTCTAATGTATATTTATAATTTATAATAATGATAAAATAATATCACCAAGCATATTGAGAAATTGAGAGATAATACAATTCAATTCAAGCAAAATATGGCAAAAAATAAATAACAAACTACAAAATTTCAACTTAATCTTTACTTTTTTTTGCTTGTTAATTTTTCCTCTTTTTTAAAAATTTGTATTTAATATTTTTCTATAACAAAAATTTAGGTATACTAGATTTTGGACCGTTATCGTTAGTTATTTTGTTAGATAAGCTCCAGATTTGGCTTCAGTACTGACTAATCTAATGTACAGTATATGCACAAATATAATATTGTATAGCTTCCTATTAAAAATATTAATATCTAGGATAGATTTGCGAGTGGTGTACCTAACACATGCTGAGCACTGCGTCTATTGTTGAAGAATCAGTATTAAAATGATATTTTTGCAGGAAATCAGCTCTTCTGAGGCCGACTCCAGGCTCAGGAAGGATCATGTATGAACCCGACGCCAACGATGACTTCGATGAGGAGGATCCAGATGATGATCTTGATGTGTGAAAGAAGAAAACACACATCCTCATTCACGACACAAGTCTGTGACTATTACACGCATCTGTAAACATTATTTATTTCCTATTCATAATTCACCACAATATCAAACAGTCTGCGGCAGTCTGATATCTGTCAGCTCCAAGAGAATGTTTTGACAGCGAGTTGTAAATACAGTTTTTCTATTAAGTTTGACATTTGGTGGACAAACGACACCAACAACACCCTTATACGCTTTGTTATTTATAGATAATGTTAATAATAATATTGTCTCAATATTTAAAGCTTAAATGTGAATATAATTCTTTCCGATGTATTGGTTGAGGTTTTCACTAAAGATCCCCAAACTTGTACTTCTGAGTTTAGAAATGGTGCTCCAAACATAATAAAAAATAATATTGGAAATCAAATATACATGCAAAACTGCACACACTTTATCTCTGTTCATTTTCTGTTGGCCAGCATTATTATCATGACCTTCTCTGCTCTTGTGTGGTAATTAATGTGTCCTGTATTCCTGCAGCCTCACAACCACGCAGATTTTAATAAAATGTAAGATGTTTTAGAGACGCGTATCAAGTTCTTTTAACGAATAGATTGTGTGAAACGTGGAAAAAGACCCTTATTCATGCCAACACCTGACATAAAGGTAACATGCAGTGGTGCGTTTTCCGAAAAAATAAATGAATAACTACCATAGTATGATGCAAGTGGGTGAGGCAGTGGCGCAGTAGGTAGTGCTGTCGCCTCACAGCAAGAAGGTCGCTGGGTCGTTGGTTTGAGCCTCGGCTCAGTTGGCGTTTCTGTGTAGAGTTTGCATGTTCTCCTTGCGTTCGCGTGAGTTTCCTCCGGGTGCTCTGGTTTCCCCCACAGTCCAAAGACATGCGGTACAGGTGAATTGGGTAGGCTAAATTGTCCATAGTGTATGAGTGTTTAGCCCCTTTCACACATACAGACCTTTCCGGAAAATTGCCGGCAATTTTCCGGAAAGCTTGTATGTGTGAACAGGTCCTTTTTGAAAATACCGGTAAATTCGTTCTGGCTATTTTCCGGAAAGAGAAGTTGTAACATTACCGGCAATTTGCCGGAATGCTGCGCTGTGTGAATGCAGAAGGAAGATTACCGTAATAAGCGCGTGCACGTCTAGAACGTGCTGACGTGAGACGTCTGCTTTAGCCAATCGCAACAGTCAGACGCATTTACGTCCGCGCTGTTTGTGAGAATAAAAACCTTTGAATATTTTTCCAGACACATTTAGCTGCTAGAAGTTAGTCAGATCACGTTCATATGTTCTTCTTAATGCCAACTGTGTAAATAATCATCGATGAGATGCTTATGATAAGCCGTTGTTTGTTTACCTTCAAGCTTTGCGTGTGCCTTTGAAACTGTGAGCGCCAGCACACGCACATATTATGAACATCTCGACATGCGAAAGTGATCCTGCGAAAGTTATTCACAATATTGATCATCCACAGAGTTTGTAATTTAGTCAAATGTTTACAAATACAAGCGCAGCCGTTTAAAGCTCATTTGTGGTGAATGATGTCAGAATTTACCGGTATTTTGGAATGGATGTGTGAATGCTCTTTTCCGGAAAATTTCCGTAACGTCCTCGCCTGTGTGAACAGCGCTTTTTTGAATATACCGGTAAAGTCGTTCCGGAAATTTTCCAGATATTTACCGGTATCACTGTGTGAAAGGGGCTTATGTGTGTGTGTGGGTTGCAGCTGGACCTGCACCTTTGGGATTTGGTGGAATGACAGATTCGCATCATGGATGTGCAGCCAACAAATCTGCAGCAACTGCGTGATGTTATCATGTCAATATGGAGCAAAATCTCTGAGGAATATGTCCAGTACCTTGTTGAATTTATACCCTAAAGGATTAAGACAGTTCTGAATGCAATAGCGGGTCCAACCCGATACTAGTAAGGTGTACCTAATAAAGTGGCTGGTCAGTGTAAATTACTACTTCAAGTCCTTCTTACCCTTAAAAAAAAGAGCAAAAATAACAACAATATATACAAAAATATATATATTTTAACATTACCATAAACAGTAACACACATTAAAAAACTGAATGATAAAAGCTAAACCATAAAACTACAAAAGCGGAGTATGCATGTTTATTTTCTTCCTTGTTTTGTTTTTGGTAAATTACATATTTGTTTACTTCATGTATTGAATTTTCATCTTCAGCTGTTTACTCAAACTTACTGTATTTATGCATTTAAATAAGTTGAACGTGTATATATATATATATATATATATATATATATATATATATATATATATATATATATATATATATATATATATTCTTATCAGTCTAAATCACATAATGGCATTGCAATAAACATATTTATGCTATTATTTATATTTAAAACAGCTAAAGTAAACGCTGAGTGCTTTTTGAAAACCGTCGCGGCCACGTGAGCACAAACTTTATGTCCCTTCGCGGAAGTGACGTCAGGGAAACGATGGCGGCCCGTGCTGCTCTACCGTATTGGCTTTAAACTGTTCCTCAAGCGTTGACAAATTATATACACTCGTTTTTTTCTATCCGCTTTTCTAAATAAAGACCTAAAGAAGCGCACGGTGGATTTAATGTCGCGGCGGAAGGATATTCGCACTTCTCCCGGCTTTCGGCAAAACGGAGACATTTCTTCGACACTCCAGTTGCTCTGACCACCTTAGCCGACGAGCATTTGAAAGACTTCACAGAGGAAACCTGTCTAAACGTCAAGACGTTCACCTGAGGACTTCACGAGCACGCGCTTTTCCTCAACCGCTGCACTTTTGTACGTTTCCTCGGTTTATTTCAGTCATATTAAGGCGCGTCGGGACGCCCCGGTGTGAAGTTGTGAATGGTCGGCGGGATCTTATTTCCACAGGTGTGTTGTTGTACAGGTATTGCGGTGTAAATCACACCTCACGGACTCTGGTGTTATGGTTGACATGCTAAAGACCCGCCAATGTCTGCTCGGTGTGCGCACTTTCCTCGGCGTGACGTCCAGAATATGGAGCTTCTTTTTATACATCCTCAGGAAGCACATACGAACGGTGAGTCTTCATAAAACTATAATTTCATCATGTTTTAGTAACTTGTATTTGATTTTTTTGACGGTAAAGTCGACTTGAAGGGAACGCAGACACCTGTCCAGGCCATCAAAGCTACTCTTGGTTAAGACGTGATGACTATTATCTGGACTGATAGTGTGCAGATGAGCTGTGGTATGGTTGAGAAACACTTTTATGTGACTTTTAACTATGTGGGTTTCCGTTTAAAAGTTTTGTAATAATCGCACAGCAACAATAACGGCTAAGTGGCACTAATAAACAATGTTACAGTGATTACATTAAACAAGCTACTTGCAGGTTTGCCAGCTAATAAAACTAGCTGACATTGACATTGAAACTTTCATGTGTAATAAAA